ACAGCACTCCTCAAAGCTTCTACAACAACACCATCGGCTTCCTTAAGGTAATGGAGAGAAGTTGTTTTAATATATTCCACCTTTATAATTAACTTTGAGTAGCAGTAGCTGACCCTGGTTCCTTTTTTGTTCCTTCAGTCCAGATTCTTGTTGTTATGTCTTAATTCTGTCTGAAATCACATAGTAATGCACATTAATATGCATCACATGACACTGTGTGAACGGTTTATCGTTCTTTGCTTCCTCAGTCTAACTCAGAGATTTGCTTCAGCGAGCTGTCCTCCGTCCCCGGCCTGAACCCTGTCATGCCTTCAGGAGCCATGTACATCATGGTGAGTGTTGAACGTGTGGTTTGCATTCAAATTTCTGTGCCATGATCATTTTCTCAGTCACATTTAGTTTCCTCATCATCATCATTTTCGCAGTGAACTGTGCTCTGTGCCCAGGTTATCACATTTTATGGGAAATTTCCACAGTGTCTGGATTTTGCAAATGACTCACACTTAACCATTTAAATGACTTTAAAAATCAGATTTGTGAGTTTAAAACAGAAACTTTACAGAAGCTTTTAGACCTTGAATTCATACTTTGAATGAGGTCTTTGAGCAGCAGTTACAGCTTAGGTAATCTCTACAATATTTATATTTATTTGCATTCATCATTCATCTCCCTGTACCTGCTGCACCCCACAGCACGATGATACCACCGCCGTGCTTCTCTGTGGGGTTAGTGTCAGCAGGTAATGAGTGTATTGGGGTTTATAATGAGTTTAGGCGTGTCCATGTGCAGATGTGAGATGTAGATACATGGACAAAGTGCTTCTACTATGGCAACAAATAGTTACATTTTGGCCTTTTGGACAGGTTGTCATAGTTTACATTTCTCTTTGCTCATAACATAAAAGTCTGACTGATGGGGTGCTGGTGAGATGGTGGTGCTACCAGCAGGTTCTCCAGGACTTCTGAAGCTCTATCAGAGCGACTGTTTGGGCTCCTGGTCACCTTTGTGATCAAGGACCTACGTGCCTGGCTACTCTGTTTGGCCAGACTGACGGATGTAGGAAGAATCCTCATGGTTTTAAATTTCTCCCAAAGTTTGGCTGCTAAGCACCCGGGGACACTGTTGGCAGATTTCTGCTTCACCATAGTTTTATCAAAGAGATCTACTGAGAGTTTTGGTGACGTGAAATAAAAATCCTGGGATTTGATATCCCATGTGAGAATTTCTCAAGTCTCTCCAGTCAGATGATTAAGGATGATTCAGGCAAATGGAATACAGCTGAGAACACGTCGGAACCACTAAAAGGGTCTGAATACCTTTGAAAATGAAAGATTTCATTGACTGGTGGGAAACTACAAATGAAGTGTGCACACAGTAAAGGAGTCTGAATGATGTCAGCATTCAGAGTTCAGAGGTTAGACCAACCATGGTATTTACATTTTCCAGATTGGGATCGACATGGATCACTTCCCAGATTTTAAGAACGATGTGGACTTCACCGAACGGCTGGTGACTGAGCAGTCTGTCTTCTGTCTGCCTGCTTCGGTAAGACGCCATCACCTTTCCTCTCACTGCTGATTTGTCGGCCCTCACACCGACATATTTCTAAACTCCATCCTTCCTGACGTTTCACAGGCGTTTGAGTATCCCAACTTCTTCCGCATTGTGGTGACAGTCCCGGAGGAGATGATGCTGGAGGCTTGTGCTCGGATCAGGGAGTTTTGCCAGAGCCACTATCGCCCCCCCAGCCGTGACAGCAATGACCTGGACCAGTAATGCAGGGGCTGTACCAGTCTTACAGCTGTCCCACCACAACATTACCCTGAAATCTTTTTTTCAAAAGCTGCCATGGCAACAAAAAGCATGCAACAGCATATCTAATGGTGTAATTTTTATGTAAACTCTTAAGAAATGAACAAATGTGATATTTATATTTTATACTGACAGCTTGTATTAACCTGTACTTGTATATTTATATCAATTGTATTTCACTTACACACCTCTTTGATATAATCTGCAGCTAGCTTCTTTGTTAGTTTATGCTTGCTTTTTTTCCTGAGCTACAAGTAGAGGAAGTGAATGTGTTTGTTTGTTTTTATAAGCCTTGTATACTGATAATCACCTCCATACATGAGATCTATCTGTCTGTCTGTCTGTCTGTCTATCTATGTAGATAGACGAAGTATAAATATTGTGCATTATTTTCAGACACAGCATTTTGTTTTGTGCCATTGTTAACAGTTAATATAATAAACTGTACTGACATAACAGGTAAAGGATAAATATTCAATGTTAAAGAAAAATCGCAGAATAAAATATAAACGGAAACAAAATAATCCTCCTCTGATGATTTGAATCAAAAATTTCACATTTGGATTCATTGCTCTATCAGACCTGCTTCCATGATTTCAGTTCAGTTCCTGCGTAACTTTCACAGCCTTTTCTTCCCGTTTCCCTTCTTTAAGAATGGCTTCTCGACAGCCACTCTTCCACTGAGAACGTTTCTGATGAGGCTTCAGTGAACAGTAGATGGATCAGCTGAAGATCCAAATGCATCCCTCAGGTCCTGTCGGGTCTCTGCTGGACGTTTTCCTCATGACTTTCAGATACTGTTTATCTGCTGCAGACAGTATTTTTAGACCCACCAGTCCTCAGTTCAAAGTGTGCTATCTTTGGCATTTTGCAGAGATTCAACTAAAGAAACTGGAACAAAGGATATTTTTGCTACAGGCAGTTAGTAACAAAGTGTAAACATACAATTTCAAATTGGTTCTTTGCTAAGTTGTATCTACACAACCCTGTTTCATCCCTTGGGTTCGGAGTATTTTTTATGCAAAATTGATTCATAGATCAGTGTAAATGATTTAACAAAGAAAAACTTTAAAAGAGATTCAGAAAGAGAACTGAGTCTGTCTGATTCCTAGGAAGCAACATATAAAGAAACGAGGGGTGACTCAAGACTTTTGCACAACTGCAAAGCCAAATACAGTTGATCAGCATCAGTCACTACATGACAGAAACACAAGGTTCATGTGGTTTATCCATAACTTATGAGGCTTATTGAACAAAAACATGTTAAAATGAGGTTTTAATAGTTTCAGTGATCTCTGTTTCTTATCAATTCTTATAAATATTTTGGAGAACTTGTGTTTACAACACAGTGGAACAAATATTAGGACTCATAACGTGATCATTTTTTCTTTTCCAGAAGCCGAGTTTTGTCTCTGGATTAAAATATTTTTAAAAATATTTGATGCAAAACAAATGATTACAACAAACAACACACTTCTATATTTAGGGAATAAAAAAAAAGAAAGGATTGACTAGCACTGCTCCAGTAAAATATAAAACTTACATTCATGCAGTTATGAAGCTTAACTTTAGTCCTGGCTTAACTGATTTGCTCAGAAAGAAAACATGAGTTTACCTGTGCAGCGTATTTTATCTCATGTTTGAGCTAGCTGGGACTTAAAGACTGCCTTTAATCTCCTTATGCACACCGAATGTCCTCCTTCATCACTGAAGCTGATCTCAAACCAGCATTCAGACTATCAACAACACTCACATGCTGCTCCATCTGCCTGCCCACAGTGATGGAGCCGTGACACGGCTGGTAATAACTTTTGGCTGGTCTGTGGAGCCTCCTACTGGGCGATGGGAAGGTTTGTTTTCTTGCAACACTGCAGGATAACCAAAAGCACCATGGAGGAAATGATGACCATCCTCCACAGATTCATTAATGAATGAGGTCAGGGCAGGCGTTGCAAGCCTTGCTGGCCACTGTGCTGCTGGTGCAACTGCAGGATGCCATATCCATATTTCACCTGGGAAACTAATAAGTCATAAAAGCAATATCTATCCTGAAGGGTAACTTTAAAGGCACCAAACGTAGCATTGACAGCTCCTCATGCAGCCACGTGGATCTCACGTTCGTGCAGTTTGCATGATTAATCCAGTTTATGGATAGACGTGCACATACGTGCCACATAACGCCTGAGGTCTTTCTCTGGAATATCACAGGCATCAAATTTCTGTTTTGTTTTGATATATACGTAGTAGAGCCAGTGGAAGTTTGCTCATGACTGATGATACAAGTGCTCTGTGTGCTGTTGTCTGCAAAACTGACAAATCAAACAAGCAGTGACTCTTTTCAACTTTCTCCAACTTAAAATGACCGTCAGCAGCTCAGTGCTGGGCGTCTCTGCTCATACCAAAAGAGCACTAAGACACGCTAATTCAATAAAATAACCAACCTGTCTCTTTCTGTTTCACAGAAGGATGAGCAGCTGTAAGGAAAGAAAATCGAGAAGAAACAGCATGACTGTGAGAACACAGAAGAAAAGAAACAACTTTAAAATCAAAGTTTGAAACTCAAAAGCAGGAATCTTCAGGTTTCTACACTCCGACCTGCCTCCATCGTAACTCTTGATTCAGATTAAAGTCCTTAGACGTCACAGTTTGTGCATTCCCAAAACTTTTCCAGCAGACACTGCATCATTTCTGCAACACCAGTTCAGTTTTCGTGGCTTCAGGTGAAGAGCAGCGTGTGTCAAATTTGCATTGCTCCTGAACCTCGAGCTCAACCTGAGACTTTGAGCAGAAAGTCAGCAGCTCTAATGCTGTCAGATCGCGTTTCCCTCTATGATGCACGCTGAAGGCTCCTGCTGAACGTTCCCAACATTCATCAGAAGAGGAATCACGCTTTCATGAGTTCAACATGAACTGTGGTAGAAAAACACATCTGAGGACGGTGTTGTGCAGCGCGACTTAAAAGTTTTGGGTGCTCTGTCATGTTTGAGCTGTCAGGCAAGTTTGTCTGAGTTCCACTTTTAAATGTCAGCTTGTGAATTTTCTGAATGCAATAAAACTGAGACACACTGCAGATCACAGCACAGTCGATTCTGCACAAATGTAGTCTGTTATATATTCAAATGCATTCATTTAAAACGAGTAGATGTTCCCGTTTTGTGAAGTCAGGACTCAAGTATGGAAACAGTGGATTTGCATAAAGATTTTTATTATTTGCTCAGAAAATATACAGCCTTCTACTTTATGTGCAAATGATATCCAGGGGTTTGTTTAACAGCTGTAATGACTAACATACTGTCTCATACTCTAAATGAGACACAAAATTTTTTTCAGCTTTAAAAAGCATCCATGCACCATCCGTCTTTACCTTCCTCCAAAGGGCTTAAAGAAATGAAAGCCACTTCAGCCACAGATGTTTTACAACTGTGTGAGGCTGGCAGCTCAACACATCTGTGTTGAGAAACCAGCCTAGTTGTGCCTGAAAAGCTTGATCCCCATCCAGCTCCAGAGGTGGAAGAAGACGTAGACGGGGATGGTGACGGGCAGCAGCAGGCTGTAGAAGCACAGACTGCTGCTGCTGGTGCAGCCCTGAGGGAAGTTCTCATCCACCGCCGCAGAGTAGAACAAACCAAAGAGGGACACTATGGGGACCAGTCCCACCATCACAGACAGGGACAACATGTTTGCAGATGGGCTCGGAGGTAACGTGCTGCCGGATGATGATGTGTTACGTGCGCTTTGGCTAGAATGCCAAAATACAACTGAAAGAATCCAACACCTCAATTTTATTTAGTCAAACAGTTTTTTTAAAGCCAGCGTCCAGTTTGTTTTTGCTCAGGTCAACTCAAAGTGAAGGCTTTTCTGTTACTGTGCAGGTGTGTCTGAAGCATCTTTCCGAATGAGTCTGGCCTCCTGAGGGATCATGTTGGGAATGCCGTCGATGACGGGATAGGCAATGCCGAGCTCCTCGTTGATCAGCTCGTTGGTCTTAGGCTCGTATCTGTGGAGGAATAACATAGTAGAATAAGTCTTTCATAGCACTGAAGTGCTGACATTTCCTACAAACTGTGAATGCAGCAGCAGTAGCAGCTGTAGTTCATGTGAACTTAATAAAACCATGACACACACATGCAATGCTTGTTTTATGTTATCATATTTATGTAAGCATTTGCCCACAATGGGTGTGTGTAAATAACACCAGCACAGATGTGCTCGTGTGCAGTCCTCAGGAACTCAACAGCAGGAAGCTGGATGATCATTAATTTAAAAGTTTTAGGAGATAAACCTAAAAATCTAAATCTGATCTCAGAGAACTTTTCAGAAAAAAGATTCAGTGGAGGATAAGGACAGTACTTAAATAATACAATTTACTGACATGTATTACTAAGTATAAAGTTTGAGAAGTATATACACATATGGTCCTGAAGTCTGTAATGGTCTTTGTGGTGTTTAAGAGCAGGTTATCATCAGTCTATGGGGTCAAATTGTGAACCTCCTTCCTGCTGTTTGTATCATCACTGTTGGCAGATTCCAACTGCATCATATCATCTGCAAACTTAACAACAACCAAAACTCGTGGTTAACAGCAATCTGAGGGCGATTAGTGAGGAAATCTAATATCCAGGTTCATCTGAACTCCAGTCTGTTTGGTGATGGTGTTAGATGTTGAGCCGTAGTTCACAAAGAGCTTCCTGGCGTAGGTGTTGTGTTTGTCTATGTGAGTGAGGGGTTGTGTTGAGAGCCACACAGATGTTCAGCTAAACCAGATTCAGGCATAATTTCCATTTGTTTTCACAGATGTAAAGTATCTGCGAAGGCAAATGACAGACCCTAACAAGCCAGCCAATCAGCAAGTACATCGCAGTGTCGCGTCTTCAAACTGGACAAGAACTGAACAATTTAAAAGGCTCAAACTGTTTTACACATTAGAAAGTGCGTGTGAGGTGGTGCCGTTTGTCCTGCTAGAGAGCAACACGGCTGAACAACAGGAACCAGAGCGTGTAAATATTAGTAAGTAACCTGAGCACAGGTCTGTGTGTGTTACCTGAGCGGTTTCTTGGACAGCGGACATACGAGGACCTCCAGCAGGGCGGCGTCGAAAGGCGGCTGCGCTTCGTCCTTCACGTCCGTAAAGCTCCTCACCGGCGCGGAGACGGCAGCTACCCTCCGTAATAACGGCGTGTTTCTCACATTACGCTCAACAAAGAAGGTTTCAGTCAGCAATCTGCTCAAAACATTCTTAAACATGACCACAAAGTGCCTACCGCGTCCAAGTCTCCTACAGGAAGCATAAGTACGCGTGTAACCGTGAAATCAGTCCGCTTCCTGTGACTCCTTGGCCCTTTCGGGTTTAAAATGTTCCGCTTTTTCACTTATTCAATAAAAATATCTACCACGGGCTTGGTCACATATGCAAACTAACATACTATATTTAACACGGTAGATACCACTGCTAGTCGTACATGTCATTTGGTGAACGTTTGTTCGCGCAGTTTCCACATTTGCCCGCATGGTGGCAGTGTTCCACTGTTAGTGCCCCAGTGTTAATTTCATTCAAACGTATTCTGTGTGTGGGCTTTGACCAGATGTGGAAATAAAATAATGACAAAACAAACAAAGAAACAATAAACATTAAATGAATGTGAAAAGCACTGATTTGGTCAGCTAGACTACACTCCACATCACCATAAGGAGAGATCTCTATGCTGCCCACCATACTGTGGTAAATATCCTTAGAATAATAAAAGTCACGGCCACCTTAACAGTGGCTTTAAGTGAAGGAAACTAATGTAGATACACATTTTGTGAATTTTGCAACAGTTGCTGTTTGGAGTCTGATTTCTTTTAAGCCCCGTAGATGTCCCAGGAATGATTTCCCAGCAGGTTAGAGCCATACAATATTAAACATTGTGGTAGAGCTCAGTGCCAGCCAGGGCAGAATGCATTCCCCCCCATCCATGTGGCTGAAGATATTGCTCTGAGACTTTGTTGGCAGGGCCCCAACCAACTTGTTTTAAAACTGCTTCTAGCTGTAATATATCCCATATATATCTATCTATCTTATCTATCTATATTATATATATATATATATATATATATATATATTATATATATATATATATATATATATATATATAATATATATATATAATAAAAATTAGATGCGAGACTCGATTCACTGATCCACACAGGCTATACAGCAATGACATTGGAATGTCGTTCGGACTGGAGAAGTGTAGTCGGATGGTAACAAAGAGAGGGAAGGTAGTCAGAACTGAGGGGATTGAACTACCAGAAGGCAACATTGCAGACATAGAGGACAGTTACAAGTACCTGGGGATCCCGCAGGCGAAATGGGAACCATGAAGAGGCCGCTAGAAAGCTGCAACCACCAAGTACCTGCAGAGGGTCAGGCAAGTCCTGAGGAGTCAGCTGAATGGTAAGAACAAGATCCGGGCCATCAACACGTACGCCCTGCCCGTGATCAGGTACCCTGCTGGGGTAATAGGCTGGCCAAAGGAGGAGATAGAAGCCACTGACATAAAGACAAGAAAGCTCCTTACCATGCATGGAGGGTTTCACCCCAAGTCCAGCACCCTGAGGCTGTACGCTAAGCGGAAGGAAGGGGGCCGGGGACTGGTGAGTGTCAGCACCACAGTCCAGGATGAGACAAGGAACATCCAAGAATACATTGGGAAGATGGCCCCAACTGACCGAGTGCTCAGTGAATACCTCAGGCAGCAGAAACCCAAGAAAGAGGAGGGAGACGAGGAACCATCATGGAAGGACAGGCCCCTGCACGGTATGTACCACCGGCAGATAGAGGAGGTGGCTGATATCCAGAAATCCTACCAGTGGCTGGACAAAGCTGGACTGAAAGACAGCACAGAGGCACTAATCATGGCAGCACAAGAACAAGCTCTGAGTACAAGATCCATAGAGGCTGGGGTCTATCACACCAGGCAAGACCCCAGGTGCAGGCTGTGTAAAGATGCCCCAGAGACAATCCAGCACATAACAGCAGGGTGCAAGATGCTAGCAGGCAAGGCATACATGGAACGCCATAACCAAGTGGCCGGCATAGTGTACAGGAACATCTGTGCCGAGTATAACCTGGAAGTCCCGAGGTCAAAATGGGAGATGCCCCCAAGGGTGGTGGAGAATGACCGAGCTAAGATCCTGTGGGACTTCCAGATACAGACGGACAAAATGGTGGTGGCTAACCAACCGGACATAGTGGTGGTAGACAAACAGAAGAAGACGGCCGTAGTGATCGATGTAGCGGTTCCGAATGACAGCAATATCAGGAAGAAGGAACACGAGAAGCTGGAGAAATACCAAGGGCTCAGAGAAGAGCTCGAGAGGATGTGGAGGGTGAAGGTAACGGTGGTCCCCGTGGTAATCGGAGCACTAGGTGCGGTGACTCCCAAGCTAGGCGAGTGGCTCCAGCAGATCCCGGGAATAACATCGGAGATCTCTGTCCAGAAGAGCGCAGTCCTGGGAACAGCTAAGATACTGCGCAGGACCCTCAAGCTCCCAGGCCTCTGGTAGAGGACCCGAGCTTGAAGGATAAACCCCCGCAGGGGCGTGCTGGGTGTTTGTGTTGTAAAATTAGATGGGCCTGCTTGAGAGGCATCCATCATCTCTAACACAGACTGAGGCTGAAATGATACTGAAAAAGGTCGACACCTGTTCAAGCCAAAATGCAGCACATGACTGGCTGATTGTCATTATTGGTCTTTAACAGCAAAGTAAAGCGGACATGTTGAAAATAATACAGAAGAAAATATGCTCTGATGTTCAAAATGTCCCATTTATCAAACAGATCACACTAAAGATGTCTGCTGACAGCAGAAAAATCACTGCCTAATGAATTCTGGGGAACATCTGGACATGACCGGCATGCCACCAACATCCTGCTCTAAATGAACATTTCTCTTGAAGTGCTGATGTTGGTTCACAGAGCTGTTTGGGAGGAGCATGAGGTTATTTATACCATGAATGAACAGACTCAGATTTTAAAAGTTTGTGTTTTGCTTTAATAGAAAATAATCTCATTAAAAATCACATTGACATTTTCAGTGTAACACATCCATCCATCTTCTGGGTGCTCGACACAGAGCAGGGGAGCTGCAGTCTGGGCAGAGATGGCCACACCTCCCTGTGCCTCTCAGCCACCTCCTCCAGCTCCTGTGGGGGACATAATCTCTCCCAAAGACATGTTCTCTTATGTGCATCCTGGGCCTGACCCAGAATCTTCTCTTGCTTGGAAATTTTGGAAACACCTCACCTAGTCAGATACCCGAACCATCGCAACTGGATCCTTTCCATGTGGATGATCCACATTACTGCCGACACTGCACAGATCTGTCTGTCAGTCTCCTGCTCCACTGTTCCCTCACTCTTTGATGTGACACAATCAGAACTCCTACTTTTTCCAACTGAGACGTGTGGACTCAGACGCTTGATGAAAATCAGAGAAAAACAGTTGAGATCCTTTGACCACCCTCTGCCCTTTGGTTCTGGCTGTATTCCAACTTCATGGTGTCCTGGAGAGTCCGTGTACTGGTTAAATCTCAGAGTGTCAGTTTTTATCGTCTCATACATATTTCAAGGTATAGAAGCGTGTGCCCAACCAGTCTAGATATAGTCTTGTTTGGGAATATGAGGGATCTGATCCTCCCTGAAGGACTGTAGTGAGAGCTTGGCTCACATCGAGTGGCAGCTGGATTCTCCCACGGTGGGAGAATCATCTATTCTGTCATCAATTCAGTTCATAGGTTTTATGAATTTTTAAGGATAGAAATTGTAACAAGCAAACAAAGAAAACAAAAAATGGACCAAGGTAATGTAGGAAGTAAAATAAATAAATAAAATAATGTTTTAAAGGTTCATTAACCTTTATGAGTGGGCCTCACTCATAACACATCATTCATATCTCTTAACCGATTTTCTGCGGTATTTGAAATATCTCGCTTTCACAGTATATCCATTTTGAAATAACAGGTGTCAACACATCTTTGGCACAGTGGCTACAAAGCCACACTGGGGGGCTGGAGCTTATCCCAGCTGTCATCCAGCGAGAGGCGGAGTACATCCTGGACAGGCTGCCGATCTGCGACAGGACTAACACACAGAGTGAGACAACCACACGCTCTCACTAAGGCAAAGAGGCAAAGATACAACACCATTAGAAAAGACTATTGATTGTATGAGGCCAAGACTGTACAGGGTTTGGGTATAAATATAGAGGACGAGGAAACAATCTGATCTGAGGGGTCATGAGATGTTTTTTGGAAGAAGAGGAATTCCTCTGATCCTCCACAGATTATTTTTGATAATGATCACGTTTCTGTTTTTAATCTGGCATTTGTGTTTTCACCTGGAAATAACAGAGCACACACACACACACACACACACACACACACACACACACACACACACACACACACA